ATTGGAGTTCAAGCATTAATTTTTACTACCATTAGACATATCATCCCATTCCTAACCAACTTTTTTCTTTATTTCTAACATTCTATCAGATTGACTTGAATAATTTAATTATCGCACATTGCTTGAAGGTAAATCATTAATTTCTAAATTATTTCTCAAATTTTAGGCAGAATTTAATTTCTATTTTGGCGTCAGAGTTACAGGCTTTTCAACCTTAATCTCAATTTGCTTTATATTAATCTGATTTCGATGAAGCTAATTAGTTTCACTCATTATCTAGTTATTAATTTTTGCAAGATCTTATTACAACTTGAGTTCTTTTTACTTTATTAAATCATTTTTGTCTTTCTATTCTTGAGTGACTGTTGCTTTTGGTTTATCTTCTGACTTTTCATTAGTTTTCTAGACTGACTTTACTTATGCAGTATCTTTATTCTCTTTTTCGATATTTTATTCCTGCTTTTCTATAATTATTTCAATTTTACGTCTTTGTTCTATCTCTTTATCTACATCAACATTGTTTGCATTATGAACTTTAGCTTCGATTTAAATAGTTTTTTCAGACATACAGAAAGCAAATCTAATATTTTAACAAATCAATTTAGAACTGCATTCCCCACCAAGCAAGCTATAAAGAACTATGATTAGTATATACAGGGCAAGTGGCAGAACTATCATAATACCTGTAACAGCAATAGCCAAGTGTCCCGATGAAAATTATTATTCACTGAACTTCACTTTTTCACTGTTCAGGATTCGATTTTCACATCTCTCTCCTTCAAAATTATACGAGCATATGCAATTTCCATTAAATCCACACTAGGCTCCATTTAAACAGTAGCTTATATTAGTGTTGCAAGAATCAAGAGTATTAATTTAGCTTATTGCAATCACATATATGAGAAATTTCATTACTGAGGTTCTATTTTTCATGTAGATAATAGATTGACACTTATTATTTTTACTATAAATTGATTTATTGAATATATAATCCTAAAAATATTCCAATATTATAAGTTAAGGGGTTTTGGGGTTTTGGGGTTTTGGG